TAACACTACGTACCCTGTGGCTGAGCAACGTTTTTTTCAACTCTTTCAGCAATTTCTAGGACATCGCCAAGATCAGATCTTTTCCGCTTGACACTGTTTGGGTCAGTTTTAGCAAGAATCTGTCCTTTTGCTCGTAGTCGGTGTATTGCAGCCAGCTAGAAAACAGGAAAAAGTAGTGAATGTGCAGCTGACCAGTCTGCCTCCCATATAGCTAGTTCCAGAAGAAGCAGAGGAATTCTGCCAACCGGAAGAGGCAAGATCCACTGGCCTGAACATGGAGTTGGGCAAAGAGAAGCCCAACAACATTCACAGCTCTTCTGTACATGTGATAATTCAGCACATCACCCAACCTCTGATCACTTCCCAATCCATAAAATGACTCTTCCTGGGGTATTATCAGGTTTGGCATCTCTGCAGCTGTGCTTTAACTGCTTCACAGATCACTTGAGCTTACCAGAGGAAAAATAAACAATGGAGATTTCCACATAAATCACTAATAATTGGGAACTAATAGGAAATTGCATACAACTGTTCTTTCATCTGAAAATTAAATTAAGACTCCTTCTTCCTACTAGACTTGCTGGAAAAGATACATTTCTTTGATAGACAGGAGGACAGATCTCTGCCAAGGAACAACGCAGTCTGTTCTGGCTAGGGACCAAAATTATTCAGATTCAAGAAATAACACAGTTAAATCAATGAAGTTCATTGTCACCTACCTGGCCAACAAAAACATCCACAGTACCCTGCACTTGCAAAGCCAGAGAATAAATCTTGCACCACTTAGCACTCCAGGAATTTCCAGCAGAAATCCCCTGCCCCTCCTCAGCATTCAAGAGTTTTCGTGCTTGTAAAAGAATCAACATGTGACCAGCTCGGGTGGACTTTGAATTAGCAAGAGACACCAGCTCCTATGGCCAAGGCAGGCCCTTCTTTAGCAGCTGTTCCACTGCTCTGAAGGTTGATTACAAACAAGATAGTAGCATGGACCTCCGTACAACCAACTGTCTGGAATCAGGTTTATTAGGTAGTGCAATACAGCTCAATCTGATTCCATGGATCAGGAACTTCACCAAAATCAGCACTGAGGCAGCCTGTGTTTCATCAAAGACTCCTCTGTTACCACAAACTTCCCTTAAACCCCCCTTCCTGACACTTAAAACCCACCCACTCAAACAGCTCTTACCTTTTTGGCTTCAGCTAAGCTGTCTAGCTTTAGTGCTGGAGGTGGAGACCCATCAAAGAAGAGGATATCTTCTCCTTCTGAGAAGCCTGTGCCAAGCCTGGGCCTTTGAGGAGTTGACATTTTTGCAGCTTTGGGAAACTCTGCTCCAGGAGTTGGGGAATGGAGCGAGGACTGCCTGGAGGAGGATGGAAGATCGGGGCTGCCGGCTGTACTTGTGTTTTGGAGAAACCTTTGAAGAAGAGAAAAAGAAAGGGACACAAGTCACAGAGACAGAAAGGTTTAAGAAACAGATATGGATGACAAGGGGTGCAGAAATTGTGATTTTTGACTGACTGGCCTTCTATTGCTAGTAAAACATGCAGCAATTCAGCCATTCAGGAGAGCAAAACAAGGCTGGTAAGAAACTCACTGGACTGCTGAAATCCAGAGCGACTCAGAGAAGGTAGAAGGAGGAGTGAACAATCAATTTCTTTCCAAAACAAAAACCACAGAGAATCATCAAACAAAGCTAGGAGGTGGGAGCTGAAAGCATGTGAAAGGACAAGCTTCTTCACAGAACAAGTAATTAAGCAATGGAACTCCTTGTCACAGGAGTCACTTAAATGCTTAAGTTTACATATGTCCTTGTAGAGGTCAAGACAGATTCACAGAAAAAAAATCTCTTGAAAGATGCTCTAACAGACAGCACCTTTAGCTTAGGAAGTCCCTCAGCCACACACTGTCAGAAGCTGGAAGAGTATTTGGAGGAAATATCACTGTGATTGTGCCTAGTCTTATTCTCCTCCTCCAGGTTCTGTTTTGGCTCCTTTTGAGGCTACTTGGCTACATCAACCTCAGTCTCACCCAGGACGGCCCATACGGGGTTTCTGTTGAGTTTGTCAACAAGAAGCGCTTGGCAAATCTTTAGGTTCAGAGGGTCACTGCAAGCCAGTGATGGACAGAACCAGGACTTCAGTTTCCTGCTCTAACCAGCCTCCTCCCATTACACCTTCCCACTCCTGGGCACTGCACCGGAGTGTTTGCTTCTGCACTGAATAAACACTGGCATATTTATGTAAAAACAGCAAAATGCCTCCACAGCTATGCTTAGGACCACAATAAGGGGCCCCTTCCTATAAAAGCCAGTTTGTATTACCTCCTCTGAATCTCTTCAGATCGCTTTTTTCTGGCCTCCAACAGTTTCTGTTTCTGTTGCCTGAGCAGCGCTGAAGCAGAGACAGACTGGAAATTGGCCCCTTGCTTCTTTTCAGCATCTGGGAAAAAACAAACAAACAAAAAACTAATTTTTGCTCAGAAGGAGCTGAGTTGTTATCAGGAGTGGGCTTTCCATTGGGCACAAAGGACATACCTGCTTTGGTCCAGTGTTTGCAGAGGTTTCGTGCTCCAAAGGTTGGCTGTGCCAGCAGTTCTTTGAACTCCTCAGAACATGGGGCGGGTCTCTTTGCCACACCTAGAGTGGAAGAGCCAGAAATCC